GGGGGGGGGGGGGGGGGGGGGGGGGGGGGGGGGGGGGGGGGGGGGGGGGGGGGGGGGGGGGGGGGGGGGGGGGGGGGGGGGGGGGGGGGGGGGGGGTTGCTCGTCGGGCCCCACCCTCGGCCCTCGCCCCGGGGGTGAGCGGCGCGCATCTAGGACTTGGCGGGACAGAGCACGCACAGGTGAGGCACGGGCTCCTCCTCCCCTTCCTGCCAACCCCACTGCCGCCTACTGCACTCCTCTTCTCCACCTGAGGTCCGCACCTCTTGCGCAGTCTCCAGCCCGGGCTGGGGTGGCTGGTGACCACATCCGCCTCGGGCAAGGACGCCCGACCACAGACCCCGCATCTCATCTCACAGTACAGATTTGGGGACACAAGACCAGGTAGAGGAGCAACAAGAGCGCGTTCCTCAATCAGACAGGCTTAAGATGGAATTGCAAACTCGCTGTGTGACCTCCTGCAGTGTTCTGACTTCTCAGAGTCTTGGTTACCACTTCTGTAAAAAAAAAAAGGATAATACCTCCCCTACAAGGTAGTTCATTTATGTATGCATTTATTCATTCAGCAGTCATTTATTGAAGGCCTACTATGTGTTGGGTGCTGGGACATAACAGTGAACAAAATAGACATAGAACTTACATACTAGTTAGGAGAGACAGACAATAAACATGAGTAGAATATATGGAAATCCCAGCAATTCTACTCCTAGGTATGTGCCAACAGAAATGCATATGTGTGCACCAAAAGACACCCACATAATGTTCAGAGCAACACTATTTGTAATAACCCCAAACTGGATACAATTCAAATGTCCATCAACAGTTGAACGTGATAAGCAAATGCATACTCACACAATGGAATACTACGCCCATTGAAAAAGAATGAACTACAGCTATAACTAACAGTATGGAAAAATCTCACAAACATAATGATTAAGAGAACAGATACAAAAGAGTTTATACTGTCTGATTCCATTTACATAAAGTGTTTAAAAAGGAAAACTAATATATAATGTTAGAGTCAAGATAGTGGTTACCCCTGGGAGTGGGTGGATAATTACTGGAAAGGAACACAAGGAGCTTGTAGGGTAACTGGTAACATTCTGTTTCTTTATCTAGATGCTTATTACACAGGTGTGTTCACCTTGTGAAAACTGATGAAGGTGTACACTTACGATTTGTACACTTTTCCTTATGTAAGATATATTTTGTTAAAATTTTTATTAGATTAAATTTACATTAAAAATATATGGGAATACCAGAAAGAAAGGAAAAGAAGAAATATTTGAAGCAATAATGACTGGGAATGTTCCCAAATTAATGTCAGATAACAAACTGCAGATCTAGGAAGCTCAGAGAACACTAAGCAGGATAAATGCCAATAAACTACACCTAGTATTCACATTAAAACTGCAGATAATCAAAGAAAAAGAAAAAAAAATCTTGAAAGAAGCCAGATGGGGAAAAAACTTTACCTACAGAGGAGCAAGGACAAGAATCACTTTGGACTTGTCTTCAGAAATCATGCAAGCGAGAAGAGAGATGAGTGAAATATTTAAAGTGTTGAGAGAAAAACCCCACCAACCTAGAATTCTGTATCCAATAAAATTACTCTTCAAAGGTGAAAGAGAAATAAAGACTTTCTCAGACAATCAAAAATTGAGGGTATTTGTCACCAGTAGATCTGCCTTGCAAGAAATGTTAAAATAAGTTTTCAGAGATAAAGAAATTATATAGGTGATAAATTCAGATCTACATAAACAAAGGAAGAATTTTAGGAAGGAATAAGTGAAGGTAAAATAAAACTTTTGTTTCTCTTTTCCTTAACTGATCTAATAACAGTTTTTTCAAAATAATAATAACAATGTGTTTGGTGATTATAGGTTATGGATAAGTGAAATGAATGACAGCAATGAGACAAGGCACAGGAGAGAAGAATTAGGAATAATTTGTTTTAAGGTACGTGCACTACCTGTGAAGCAGTATAATGTTATTTGAAAGTAGACTTGCGTTAGTTATAATGTATATTACAAATTCGAGGGCAGCCATCAAAAACAGTAATAAAAAAGGTGTTATAACTCATATAGTAAGAAAGGAGAGATAATGGAATCATATAAAATGTTAATAACAGCAATGGTAACTTGAATCCACAGGAAAAAATGAAGAGAACCAGAAATGGTAGATAAGAAGGTTAATATAAGAAACTCTGTAGATATAAACCTGGCTCTCCTTTCTTCTCTCAGCTTCTTTAGAAGATTTAAAAGACATAAAATTATATATTGTAAAAGTTATAAAAATACACTGTTGGGTTTATAGCATATATAGATGTCATATATAACAATAATACACGACAAAAAGGGGAGGAGGGAATAGAGCATTATTGGAGTTATATTTATATATCTCACTGGAATTAAATTAGTATAAATCCGAAATAGATTCTGATACATTAAGATGTATGTTATATGCCTAGGGCAACCACTAAGAAAAATAACAACGACGACAAAAAAGTAAAAACCATCATTAAAGAAATTCAAATGTTGAACTAGAAAATATTTACTTAATGAAAAAGAGAGCAGTGAAAGAGAAAAAAAGACATATCATGTAGAAAACAAAGCAAAATGGACATGATAAACTTGTAATGCTTGCTACACGTCCAAGTGGACTGATGCTCCAGGGGAGGATTCGTACTGGAAAAAGGATGGGTGATTGGTGTGATTGGTTCTTTCACAAGTATTTATTGAAATCCTACTCTGTGCTAGGTTCCATCTGGGCTCGGAGATACGTGTGAGAAAACCGAAAAGCTCCCCACGAGCTCACCTTCTAATGGGAAGACAGGTCATAAACAAGTTAGCAATCAAGAGAGGTAACGTATGTAAGGTCTTTAGCTCTCCAGATGGGACACAACGTACAACTACTATCCTTGCTTCTAACTTTCGGGGTATTGCAAGTATCAGAACACGGCCTTGCAACCTAGGAGCCCCTCCTCCTCCCAACCCGGGGCTTGCCTGGTGTCTCCAAATCAGTGCGCGACAGATTTCTAGTGCCGCGGAATGGCAGCTTTGCGCAGGCGCGGCCTCAGTCTGGCGTCCTAGGAGATGGACTCGAAAAGCCTCGGCGCAGGCGTAATTCGGAAGGCCGCGGGAGCCTGAGACCAACGGTTGGGGCGGGTCGAGCTCGGAATGCGCCTGCGCACTGCGCGCTCTCGTCTGAGGAACCGCAGTCTCGAGAGCGCCGAGGTGGTGTTTCGGTGGACTCTGGCCAGCCTCTCCCGCGGACCCGCTGTGGTTGGGCTGCACCCCGGGCGGGGACGTCCGCCGGGCACGGGAGGGGGACACGATGCCGGTGAGGAGAGTCGCTCAGCCGCTGGGGTTCCTCCTCATCCCCGCGGCCTGGCTCGGGGGCGCGGCCGTTGCCATGGAGGCGCGGAGCGGGCGGGCGGCCCGGGTGAGGCGGGGCAGGGCCGGGCCAGACAGGCCTCGACGGGGAGGGACCCTGGCGGCTCGGCCCGGGGCTCGTGGCCATCCAGCCGGCCTTGGGAGGGGTCCGGGGGCAGGCCTTGGCGTCGTCGCTGCTGCATCCTTGGGGCCTGCGCTGCTTGACATAAAGGCGCTGTGCGGGAGGATGCGTTCTGGCTCCCAGCCCTGCTCGCTGGGGGCGGTCACGGAGGGTCTATTTGGATGCCGTGCACCTCGTGGGGCCTCTGCGCCGCCAAGCCAAGCCGGTATTCCAGGCCTCGGACTCGGACTCGGACTCTCCTAGGCTCCAGCTGTCATGCCTCTCGCGGCTCTTTAGCTTACGGTGCAGAATGTAACCCGTAATTGTCTTTGTGTGGGTGGGGGTGGTAGGTTCTAGGATTTCACATTGTTATAGTGCATTTAATAAGGGGGAGTTGTATTCCAATAAAGGGTCATGGGGAAAACTTGAGCCATGCCGGTTATTTACTGGTTGCGAGGCCTCGGACAATTATTTAATCTGTCTGGGCCCGTAGTTCCCACATAATTAAACTTTTCCTCATGGGGTTGTTATCAGGGTGAAAAAAGATAATGCACAGGAGACTTGAAGGACAATGCTTGACATTTAGCGTTAGATGTTCTGTATTTGTTTCTGTGCATTGCTTTCAAGTTATTGATGCATTCAATAAATGTTGGGCACCACCCACATGCTAGGCACTGGAGATACAATATTGAGCAAAACCAGCCAGGTTCTTGAACTTGGAAAGAGAGAAGCGTGCCTTCTTGGGCATGGGTGAAACCCATACACCTTTACAGAGATGACAACGTTAATGAATGAAGCAGGTAGATGGCGTATGATAGAAGTAGAAATGGGAAATTGAAGTACAATAGATAGAAGTAGAAATTGGGGAATTGGAAAGTGTTGCCATGTGAGAAAGCTAGCCTACAGATATCAGATCCTCTGGTTTTTTTCCTAAAAGTCTTTAGAATTGTTATTTTTGTGAGATTTCTCAATTTTAACAACTAACTCAAAAGATTTTTAATACTATGAGCCAAACAAAAGAAATCTGTGAGCTGAATTCAGCCCTTTTACTACCTGTTTGCAACCTCTTGTGGAGGCAAAGACAGACATTAATCAAATAAGGAACAAACAGCGGTAAAATTGTGTCCATCAAGGGGAGAGCAGGATGTTCTCAGAGCCTATGAAAGTATTTGACCTAGTCAGGGAAATCTTTCCAGACGAAGTGGCTATTGAGCTGAGATCTGAAGGATAAGTAGATGTTAACTAAGTGAAGAGCAGAGTGAGGAATGTTCTAGGCAGAAGGAACAAAACATGGAAAGGCCAGTGGTGCGAAAGAGCAAGGTGACTAAAAAGGCCAAGAAGCCCAGTGTGGCTATGGCTGAAAGAACCAAGCAGAGTGTCTTACGAAATAAGCCCAGAGGAGTACACATAGGCAAGAGCCAGATCTTACAGACCACCTTAAAGATTTTGATTTCTGTCCTAAGAGCTGTGGGAAACTATTGAAGAGTTTTAAGTAGTGGAATGACATGATTAGATTTGTGTTGACACTGACTGCTGTGTTCAGAACAGACAGTAGGGTGATCTAATTAGATGCAGGAGTACAGTTAGGAGGCTATAATCCAGGGCCAAGATGATGGTAACCTACACTAGGGTGATGAAGGTAGAAATGGAGAGAAGTGTATTGTATTGATATATTCTGTTACTTGTCAATGACAATGTCAAAGTCAATGATTATGGCTTATATTTGTTTCTCTTTAATGCTTAGAACAGTATCTGAAACAGTAGGAATTTAACAAGTATCTTTTCAACGATTCTGTTGAACTTCTTCACTTCAATAATAGGATTGTATTTTAATATAGATTATTAATCATATAAAATTTCAAAAATTGAAATTATATTCAAATGTTCATAAAGTAAGGTCATACTAACCATTTTTCTCTGCCTACCATTGGATTTTCTTTTCTGGCTTTAATTTATTGTTGTCTTCTGTAGAGAAGATAAACCATATATGGATATATTATATACTAAAAAAAAACATTTTACTAATGCATTACAGAAAATAAAACTGTAGTCTGAGGGGTACAAAGGACCTACTATATTCTTGAATTAATGTTGTTAATCTGTTGTTGTTCACTGTGTTTTCCTCCAGGCAGGAAGTAAGAGAAGATGTCAGAGACTTTTATACAGAAAGGCAATCTATAATATACTGGTTCATTTTCTGCTTGTACAGCATTTACTACAAATGTGAATTAGATTTTCTCTCCTCTTTTTTTGTATTGTAAAAGTAACTTTTCCTCTTCATATATTTTAATAAGGTTTTCTATATACATAAGATCTTTCATTGCATTTAACAAATATTTATGAAATCTTTAATATGTGTAAGGAACTGAGATGGCAAAGTAGCCTTTTTCAAATCAATATTTAATCTGTTAAGGGTAAAAGTAAATGTTCTTTCATTATTTGTGAATATTGTCTCCACCAGATCAATAAATCAGAGAAGCCAGAAAGCTGTGATAATGTGAAGGTCGTTGTTAGGTGCCGGCCCCTCAATGAGAGAGAGAAATCAATGTGCTACAAACAGGCTGTCAGTGTGGATGAGATGAGGGGAACTATCACTGTACATAAGACTGATTCTTCCAATGAACCTCCGAAGACATTTACTTTTGATACTGTTTTTGGACCAGAGAGTAAACAACTTGATGTTTACAACTTAACTGCAAGACCTATTATTGATTCTGTTCTTGAAGGCTACAATGGTGAGTACCTTAAATTTTTTAAAAACAAGTTTATCAAGGCATAATTAATGCCCCATAAGTTTACCTATTGTACCTGTACAGTTTGATAAATTGTAGTAGATATATACAGTTGTGAAACCATAACCACAATCCAGTTTTGGAACACTTCCATCATCCCGAAAAGTTCCTTTATGCCCATTTGCAGTCACATCCCCAGGCAACCATTGATCTGCTCTCTGTCACCATAGTTTTGCCCTTTTCTTGAGATTTCATATAAATCACATCATACAATATGTCATCTTTCTTAACTATTTTATTTCACTTAGCATAATGTTTTTGAAGTTAATCCATCTTTTGCATATGTCAGTAGTTTATGCCTTCTTATTGCTGAATTGCATTCCATTGTAAGAATATATCACCTTTTGTTTATCCATTCATCAGCTGATGGAAATCTGGATTGTGTCCAGTTTGGGGGCTATTATAAACAATGCTGCTATGAATGTTCATTTATATATCTTTATGCAGACTTTTTTTTTTTTTCCTGCGGCTGGCTGGTATGGGGACCTGAACCCTTGACCTTGGTGTTATAACACCACACTCTAACAACTGACCTAACTGGCCAGCCCTATGCTGACATATTTTTTTAATTTCTCTTAAATAGATACCTAGGAGTGGAATTGTGTGATCATGTGGTAAATATAAGTTTATCTTTTCAAGAAACTGCCAAACCATTTTCCAAAGTGGTGACTATACTTTTTTTTTTTTCCTCACCAGTATGGTATGAGGGTTCCAGTTTCTTCACGTTTTTGCTAACGCTTGGATTGCTAGTCTTTTAAATTACAGCCATTCTAGAGGATGTATAGTGATAGCCTATATTTTAACTTGTGTTTCCCTAATGACGTTGAGCATCCATTTATGTACTTATTAGCCACTTGCATATCTTCATTGGTAAATGTCTCTTAAAATATTTTGCCCATTTAAAAATTAGGTTGGCTGTCTTTTTATTCTTTATATATTTTAGATGAAATACTTGATCAGATACACGATTTGCAAATATTTTCTCCCAGTCTGTGGCTTGTCTTTTCATTTCTTAATGGTGTTTTTGAAGACAAAAACTTTAGGATAATGATTAAGTCCAGTTTATCAATTTTTTCATTCTAGGTCATACTTTTGGTGATATAGCTAAGAAATTTTTGCCAAACCCAAGGCCACAAAGATTTTCTCCTGTATTTTTATCTAGAAGTTTTATAGTTTTAGGTCTTACATTTAGGTCTGTGATCCATTTTGAGTTAATTTTTATATATGGTGTGAGGTAAGGGTCTTCATTCTTTTTCTTTCTCTCTTTACTTCCTTTATTTTTTCTTCTTCCCTATGGATTTCCAGTTGTCAGCATCATTTGTTGATACTTTCCCTATTGAATTAATTTGGCACTTTTGTCAAAAATCAATTGATGACAAATGTGTGGGCTTATTTCTGGAGTGTCTATTCATGTCTATCTTGTCTTGATTACTGTAGCTTTATTATATATTTTAAAATTAGGTAGTATATATTCTCTAACTTTGTTATTTTTCAAAATTGTTTTGCCTTTTCTAGGTCCTTTGCATTTTCATATAAATTTTAGAATCACCTTATCAATTTCCACAAAATAACTTCTGGAATTTTGATAATGATTGTGTTGAATTGTTATTCTGACAATATTGAGTCTTCCAGTACATAGACATGATATATCTCTCCATTTATTCATATCTTGTTTAATTTTTCTTTTTTTTTTTTTTCTTTTTCAACTGTCTTATAGTTTCTTCCCACAGATCTCACAAGTAGTCCTACGAGTAAAGCAGAACCACAGAGTTACTCTATGAGGTGTTTCCAGCGATGTGTGGCTACAGGAAAAGCCCCATCGGGATAGACCTCAACATGTCTTGGTTAATTTCTTTCATCAATATCTTGTAGTTTTTAGCATACATGTCTTGCATTTCTTTTGATAAATTTATTTCTAGGTATTTTTTGATGATATTGTGAAAAGAATTGTTTTTATAATTTCATTTTTTGGATTGTACATTACTAATATATAGAAATGCACTTTATTTTTTTAGGTGGTTTTTTTTTTTAGGTAAAATTCAAATAACATAAATTCACTATTTTAACCATTTTACAGTGTACCATTCATAGGTTTTTAGTAAACATTGACGATGTTGTGCATCTGTCACTACTATTCTGTTTCCAAAACATTCCTATCACCCCAAAAAGAAACCCTGTACCCATTAACAGTCACTCTCAATACCCTCTGCCTGCTGCCACTACCCCCCAGACCCCTGCCAAGCAACCAGTATTCTACTTTCTTTTTTTTTTTAATTGAAACATAATTGATTATACATATCTATGGGCCACTAATCTGCTTTTTCTGTCTATGAGTTTACCTGTTCTAGACTGGACATTTCATGTAAATAGAATCATACACTATGTGCCCTTTTGTAGCTGGCTTCTTTCACTTAGCATAATGTTTTCAAGGTTTATCCATTTTGCAGCATGTATCAGTACTACATTCCTTTTTATGGCCAAATAATATTCCATTGTATAGCTATACCATATTTTGTTTATCTATTCATCCATTGGTGAACATTTGGGTTGTTTCTTCTTTTTAATTATTATGAATAATGTTGCTTTGGACATTTTTGTACAAGTTTTGTGTGTGAACATATGTTTTTAATTCTCCTGAGTATGCACAAGGGTACTCCAAAAAGTTTGTGGAAAAATAGAATTAAAAGATAAAATGAATATTTCCATGAACTTTTTGAAGTACCTCCATACCTAGGAGTGAAATTACTGGGTCATATGGTAACTCTTTTTAAGCTTTTAAGAAGTGTCAAACTGTTTTCCACAGTGGCTGTACCATTTTACATTCCTATCAGGAATGTGTGACGTTTCCAGTTACTCCATGTCCTTGCCACAACTTCTTACTGTCTTTTTGATTATAGCCATACTAGTGGGTGTAAAGCGGTATCTCATTGTGGTTTGCAATTGATTTTTGTATGTTGACCTTGTATCCTGCAAGCTTGCTAAACTTGCTTATTAATTCTAGTAGATTTTTGTTTTTTGTTTCTTTTGGGGGTGTGCGTGTGTGTGTGTGTGTGTGTGTGTGTGTGTGTAAATTACTTAGGATTTTCTTTTTTTCTTTTTTTTTTTTTTGTTTAGCACTAAAAGGATCTCTATCTCAGTATGCCTCTCTTAGGGCAAGTATGTTATTGAAAACTAGGCTTTCTAGCTGTTTGTTAGGGCTGGTCTCGTACAGTCTATCATGACTATAATCCTGGCTATAACTTTCTAGCTGACCTAATATCATTGATCTATCAGGTTTTAAAGCTTGCTATCTGGCATTCTTAAAATATATATATATATATATATATATATCCATGTTCTGACATGAAAGAAGAGCTCATTAAATGGCTTTTTAGGTAACACGCTGAACTTTTTCATATCAGTAATTCTAAAGGAAATGTATTTTCAAAAAATGTCTAACCATGGTTCACTTCAGAAAGACAAAGTAGTTGTACTATTTAATTCAGTGGTTCTAACCAAGGATGTATCTCCAAATCTGGAAAACTGTCTATCAAAATATACATGCTGGAGACCTACCACTGAAATAATTTAATAAATCTGGAGTTGAGGCCCTGTCTAATTTGAAAAAGCTCCCCCTGGAATTCTATTGCATACCTCCCTAACACCTTAGTGACAGTTAAAAAACTAATGAATGAGCTTCTGGATTTTGTTTCTATTGTAAGGTTGTATGTTTCCTGCGGGAGTGTGGACAGGCACATTAAAATAAAAGCCCCAAATGTAAAGTGGAAAGAATCTTGACTCTATTCTCTATATCCTATTTCCTGCCTCTCCCACCCCCCCACATCCAACTCTAAATAGAACAATATTGTTTAAATGTTGTCACATTAGTTTGTTATTTACTCTATTTTGCTGTGCTGAACTTGCCACTCAGCAACACTTCCAACAGGCTTGCCATTATTAAAAACATAAATTTTTGCCATAAAGCCCCTAAAACTAAAACTATGATTAGTCATGCCAGCCAGCCACCAAAAATAAAATAAAATAAAACTATGATTAGAAATATATACTTAAGGGCCGGCCCGATGGCGCACTGGAGAGGGCGCCGCTTGGGAGCGCGGTGGCGCTCCCGCCAAGGGTTCGGATCCCATGTGGAGACCGGTTCCCGCTCACTGGCTGAGCGCGGTGCGGGCGCAACACCGAGGGTTGCAATCCCGTTGCCGGTCCCCGGTACGGGCACGACACCAAGGGTTGCGATCCTGTTACTGGTCAGTAAAAAAGACAAAAAGGAGAAAAAAAAAAAAAAACCTGAGACTGGGTAATTTATAAAGAAAACAGGTTTACTTGGCTCATGATTCTGTAGGCTGGAAAGTCTGTGATTGGGCAACTGCGTCTGACAAGGGCCTCAGGCTGCTTCCACTCTGGCAGAAAGCTCGAGAGAGGAGGGTGGTACCAGGCCTTTATAACAACCAGTTTTTGCAGGAACTAATTCATTCTCTCCAGAGCTCACTCACTACCCAGGGAGGACATTAATCTATTTGTGAGGTGTACACCCCCATAACCCAAACACCTCCCACTAGACCCCATCCCCCAACACTGCCACATTGGGGATCAGATTTCAACATAAGTTTTGGTGGTGGCAAATCATATCCAAACTATAGCAACCAGCTTTGGGTTTTAGTCATTTTCCTATATTTTATGTTTTCTGTTTCGGTTTCTGCTCTTATCTTTATTGTTTCTTTTCTTCTTACTTTGGGTTAAATTTGCTCTTCTTTTTCTATTTCTTAAAAGGTAGAAGCTGAGGTCATGGTTTTGAGATCTTTCTTCCTTTCTAGTATAGGGGTTTAATTCTATAAATTATTCCCCAAGTACTGTTTTAGCAGCATCCCACAAATTTTGACATACTATGTTTTCATTTTTATGCAGTTCGAAATACTTTCTATTTTAGCTATTCATTTCTTCTTTGATCCCTGGGTTATTTAGAAATGCATTATTTAGTTTCTAGATATTTTGAAATTTTCCAGAGATCTTTCTGTTATTGATTTCTAATTTAATTCCATTTTGGTCAGAGAACATACTTTGTATGACTTGAATCTTCTAAATTAATATTTATTGAGACTTTTTTTTATGGCCCAGAATGTAGTTTAGTTTTATGAAATGTTTTGTGTGTACGTGAAAAGGACATGTATTCTGCTCTTGTTGGATGGAGTGTTCTATAAATGTTCATTAGGCCAATTTGTTTGATAATGTTCAAATCTTCTGTGTAGTTACTATTGTCAGTCTACTTGGTCTATCAGTTATTGAGAGGGAATATTGAGTTCTCTGACTCTATTTTCAGATTTGCCTATTCATTTTAGTTTTATCAGTTTTTGCTTCATTTATTTTGGAATTGTGAGTAGGTGCATAAATGCTTAAGATTTTTGTCTTCTTGATGAATTGACCTCTTTTTCATTATGAAATTGTCCTATTTATCTCCAGTAATATTCTTTGTTCTGAAACCTACTTTGGGGACAAAAATACTTGAAGAAATAATGGCTGATATTTTTCCACATTTGGTGAAGACTACAAACTATAAATCCAAGAAGCTTGATGAACCACAAACACAAGAAACATGAAGAAAAATACACCAAGGCACATCAAAATCGAATTATACAAAACCAATGATAAAGAAGAGAAAAGCCACCAGAGAAAGAAAGACATGTTATATATAGAAGAACAAAGACAAAAATGAAAGCAGATTTCTGGTCAGAAACAATGCAAGTGAGAAGAAAGTAGCACAATATGAAGGTACTTCAAAAGTTTGTGGAAAAGTAGAATTGAAAGATAATATGAATCTTTCCATGAACTTTTGGAGGACCCCTCATATCTTTTAAGTATTGAAAGAAGGAACCATCAAAATAGAATCCTATACCAGTGAAAATACCTTTCAAAAACAAAGGTAAAATAAATGGTTTTTTAGATTGCAATAGCGGAAAGAATTCACCCCAGTAGACCTGCAGTATAAGAAAAGTTAAAGGAAGTTTTTCAGGCAGAAGGAAAATGATATTAAATGGAAATATGGATCTTCATGAAAGAAAGAGTAAACTTGAAAACATACCAATAGAAACAAGCCACAGAGAAAATAGAAAACACACAAAAAACCAGAACAGAGCATCAATGAGGTGTGAGACAATTTCAAGCAGCCTAATATACAGGACATTGAACAAGTTACTTCTCTAAGCTTCTGTTTCCCTAAACTATGGGATTACAAATATTGCCTACCTCTTAGGATTGGGGTGAAAATAAAATTAAAATGCATGTAAATTAAAGTATGTGGCCTAGCACATAGCAAATGATAAGTGATGTTAGCTGTTGTCCTTATAACATGTGTAATCTACTTAATAATTCAATATGTCATATAAAATACAGTCTGAGTTCGTGACATTTTCAACTCCTTTGAATGCACTAAGTTTTATTCCTAAGGCAGAGTTTGAAATATTTTGTCACTTTGAAAAATTGAGGGGCTGGCTTGTTAGTTCAGTTGGTTAGAGCATGGTGTTATTTAATACCAAGGTCAAGGGTTCAGATCCCTGTACCAACCAGCTGCCAAAAAAAAAAAGTAAAAAGAGCTGCCAGTTACCTCACCTGGTTAGAGTGTGGTGCTGATAATACCAAGATCCAGGATTCGGTCCCTGTCCTGACCAGCTGCCCAAGAAAGAAAAAGAAAAGAAAAAATTAAGACTTTTATTCCCATGTGTAAAAACTGGCTTCTGATATGATTAATATATCTTCACAAAAAAGTCTAAAAATGATGCCATTTGAGGTTAACTGAATAGAATAGTATTAGTTAAGGAACATATTTCCTTTATATTGTCGCATCCTAGGATATCTTCTCATATTACACTGTCTCCTGGACAGCTACTCTAGCTTTCTTCCAATTCTTTCTTCACAGTATAGTCATAGTGATCATGATGTCACTCTCTGACTAAAATCATTCTATGGCTTCACTTTCCTTTTAGAATAAGGTTTAAAAACTTTAATATGGTCTTTGTGACCCTGTGTGATTAGGACCCTGCCAGTTTCTCTAGCTCTATCTGCATCCACCTTCCTTTTCCAGCTCTGTTTCTTCCACTCTTGTTTTATTTCAGTTCCTCAAAATCTCCATTCTCTTTCTTGCCTCTTACTATCCACTGCTCCTATTTGATTCTTGTTTGTATTTCAGATCTTATCTTAAACTTCATCTCTTCTGGAAAGCCTTCCCTGACCTCCTCCCCCTTCTTCGCATAACAGTTCTCCTGCTTGGTTTATGTCCCTTACTCCCATCTAGAACTATGCATTTCTCAATCTTAAATACTAATTATGCTTATAATTGTTCCACCAATATTTCCTCCCCAAGATTATACACACCATAAGATTAAGGATTGTGTTTGTCTTGCTTGTCACTCTGTCCCTGGTACCTAGCACAGTGCCAGACTCAGGTGTGAGGTAAATATTTGTCGAATGAATGAATTTAGGTATTTAGAAAGTATAAATTGTATCTGTAATTTCCTGTAATAATTGTCATAATGGGTCACCTTTTTCGTTAGTTCCCCTATTTCTTATAGCTTAATTATTTTAGGATTAAGAAAAAAGCTACCATTTACTGGTGCTTTCTACCAAGCATGATGTTGGCTATGAAATAAATTGTTTCATTTGGTTCTTACTGTCAATGTAGGGTAGTTATATCCCCATTTTACCATTGAGGAGACAATCTCTGGGTAGATAACTTGTCCTAGGTCATGTGGCTAAAAAGTGGCAGATGCGAATTCAGACTAAGGTCTTTTACTCTAGAGCCTGTATTCCTTTCCTGTACTTCTACTACATTCTCCAATTTAATGTCTACAATAAATAATTAATATATACATTATAGTAAATTTTTTATAATTAGCTATATATAAGAGTTTTGCATTTAGGCCTTGGGATATTTTTGATTAATAATTAGAAATATCTCATTGACTCTGATGCTTTAGCAGTGCTTTGTTCATAAGGCACAGAGTACATATTGTAATTGTTGATAATAAATGTGAAATTTATACTAGGGTAAATCTTGAATCAGGGAAGAAATTACATCATAATGTCAAAGGAATTAATTTTAAGAGCTGTTTTTCTGTATGTAACATTAGATTTAAAAGTGACTGATTCTATTCATCATTTTCAGGGACTATTTTTGCATATGGGCAAACTGGAACAGGCAAAACTTTTACTATGGAAGGCGTTCGAGCTGTTCCTGAACTTAGAGGAATCATTCCCAATTCATTTGCTCACATATTTGGTCATATTGCAAAAGCAGAGGGTGATACAAGGTAAAAGAGAATTCTTTTATTTTGTAATATTGAGAACTACAAACATAGGAAAGCACTTAGGTATAAGTTTTATAGACATGTTTAAAAACTGTTCTTATAAATATTACATTGTCTTTTATGTTTTAAAAAATGATGTTTATTTATAGATTTTTGGTTCGAGTGTCTTATTTGGAAATATATAATGAAGAAGTTCGTGACCTTTTGGGCAAGGATCAAACACAGAGGTTAGAGGTAAGAATAATTGAAATTGGGGTACTTTCCAAAGCAATAGAATATTTACTAAATTAAGGTCCTTTTTGTTCAAAAGGTACTTTTTATATTTTAAGTAACCTTGTATATATGATTTCATACATGTGCAGACATATCCAAGGGTAAATTACTGAAGCAGGACTGCTGAGTCAAGTGGTAAAGTATTGGTATATTTAATAGATATTGCCAAATATTTTTTTTTCCTTTTTGTCTTTTTTACTGACCGGTAACGGGATCGTAACCCTTGGTGTCGCGCCCGTACCGGGGAGGGGACCGGCAATGGGATCGCAACCCTCGGTGTTGCGCCTGCACCGCGCTCAGCCAGTGAGCGGGAACCGGTCTCCACATGGGATCCGAACCCTCGGCGGGAGCGCCGCCACACTCCCAAGCGGCGCACTCTCCATTGCGCCACCGGGCCGGCCCAATATTGCCAAATATTTTAATATGAGACAAGAAAAGATTAGCCTTTAAAATATTTATATTGGAATTTTGATTCGAATTGCATTGTCAGTAAAATAATTAGAGGAAAACAATGTATGTAGAATAAGAGTAGTCACCATTGTAAAATGATGCAACATTTTACAGCAACAGCCACCATTACTGAGCTCTTACAATGTGGTGTAGGCATTCAGTGCAGTGAATAGTAGTTGGTGGTAATAGTGCATGCTTTATTTAATCTTCCCAGCAGTTTAATTTCACTGATGTAGAAACTGAAATTTAGGAGGGTTTCATGACTTGATTAAGGTCCATCCCAATCTTAGCTTGGATTCTGACTCTGTGATCTTGATCAAGTTACTTAACCTCTATGAGCTTTAGTTTTGTCGTATGAAAATGGAAATAATAATAGCATCTACTTCATAGGATTATTGCCAACATTAACAAATTAGAGCAAAGTATTTAAATCAGTGCCTGATACATAATAATCAGCAAATGTTAGCTTTTTTCTTTTTAAGTTTATTATATAAACTGACTTTTTGGAACAATACAATGTTAGGTATTGTTGGTACTTGTTGGACCTTAATGAAAACTTATTCTATAATGATAACATGTATACAGCAGGTGTAGAAACACAATTCTTTGTTGCAGGTTGTCATTTTTAGTTTTTATGGATACTTTGTTAATTCTATGCTTTTTACCTCCTAAAAGTTTATCAATTTATCACACACATTTTTAGGCAAAAAGTCATTTGGAAAGAACATTTCCATTTTTGTACCAGTAATTATAGACCTCATTTATTCTCAGGAACATTTTTGTTAATGGTTCTCAATACTATTAGACCCAGTATCCCTTTTTAATAATATATTTTGTAATGCTCATTTGACTATCCTGAAATAAAATTCATAAATGATAAAATCCACCTACACACATAATTTAAAAAATCAGTGTACTGCCCTATGGTAATGTAAAGGAGAATAAAAGTAATTTAAAAATAAAATTCTAGTATTTCAGTATGTAAGTACTTAGATAATGACCACATTTCAATGACATGATGACATAGTTTGAAGCATATAGAATCACCAAGACTGGAATACCTACAAATGCAGAGTGTTGTGTTGGTATAATAAACACCCTGATTGGTGTTATTGTCAGAGACACGGTCTTTTAAAATAGTGACTTGCTCTTGGTAGCATTCTGAGCAAAATGAAGTACAATCCTTTCCTCAGTTTTCCTGTATTCCTATATTATTGTTGTTGTTACAATTACCATGGAAAAGCACTTTCTTTATCTGCAAATTAATGTTACATATAGAGACCCAGATATAATTAATTATCTGAGTCTAGGAAAATGTATTATAATACTTTTTTCACCCACATGAATATCTGGCAGGACATTCAAAATTTTGTAGGACAATTCTTCATTGGGTGAGACCATCTCACCGATTTCAGGATGTTTAACATCCTTGGTTTCTGCCTATAAATATTGATAATGTCCTCAAGTGAAACAGAAACTATCCCACACATTTCTAAAACATTCTGGGATGGAGGAGTAACTGCTCTCATTGAAATCCATTGTTTCAGTGTTATGAACTTTATTTGTTATAGAAATTAAATTCCAACTGGTTTTTTTTGTCAATATACAGTGTGGTTGATTATTGTGGCCAATTACTGAAACCTCCCTCCCTCCTCCCTCTCCCCCCTCCCTCCCAACAATGTCCTTTCTGTTTGCTTGTTGTATCAACTTCAGGGAATAGTAATTGTTGTGTCTTCTCCCCCCCCCCCCCCC